AGGAATAATAGATGAAAGACTGAAGAAATAAGTACTATGAGGATGGGTTAAAGGATTTCGGATGATTTATGAGGGAAAAAGAGAAGGCTAATATCCATTCCTCCATCCCGTGAGGGCCACAACATCAGAAGATTTTCAACATCACTATTTATTCATCCGTGTTTTGTTCCACATGCTTACTCTGTTAGACGAGAAGCAAAATCTCCGCAGCAATAATAAAAATGAAAAATAAGTCATTTATAATCTCGCCATTTAGGAGCTCCTAACTTCTAATATACTAAATCTAATTGGAAATTGTATTAAATGCAACAATTTTTTTTAAAATCGCTGCTATCAGACATCGGATTTCAAGGTTATTTGCATCAGTCAAGGACACACAATCGGAGCACCCGGTTGTTCGACCAGCCCTCCCCACATCACCCAGCGCCCCTTGGCAGAGTGGGAGTCCCCTCCGGGACGTCTGCCAGGGGGTCCTTAGGCACCAACTGGACCCTTCCAGGGGAGAGTCCTCCCTCTCTCCGGACTTCCTCCTTTGCAGAACAAACGTGGGAGATGTCAATGAATGTGGCTTGAAGGCTACAAGGTGGGGCCCGGCCTGGCTCTGCTCTCAGACCGGAGAAAGCCGGTGCTCTGGACAACTCACTTTAAAGGGAACCATTCTAGAACTGACGAGAGAGGCCGGGGCTATGGCTGGAACCAGCAGAGCCACTGAAACCGTCTAATATTATGAAAGGGCGCTGGCTGGGCAAGGAAAGGCCAGGGTCTGCCACCAATTGTTGAGTGACCTCAACAAGTCATTTCATCTCACTGGGTCACCAGAAAAATGGCGACAATGTCATAGAGTTCTCATGCTGAACAAGTGATGTGAAATGTGTATTTCAAAGAGGTTTGGAAAACGATGCCAATGCAAGGACCGTGTGACTCTGTTTATAGGTGACGTGTGGATCTGTTTGTTTTTTAACAGGGATCTCTGTGCAACGATTGGCTGTGGTGGTCATTTTTCCCTTCGTGTGCCCTTTGTCAGCTGAGGCGCGATATCGAAGAAAGGAAAGCGCTGAAGGCTTTCTGAAAGGTGCTTGGTAAGTTGGTGAGGATTCTTTGCTGATCTACGGATGTCACGATAACATTCTCAAAGACATCTTTTATCCTCGGCACCGCCTCACAAACCCATGAGATATCCCTTAGCCAGTGGAGGGCGAATGGATTTTAATTACCAGCCTCCACGCCCATCAGCCGGTAACCAGCTTCCCGGGGCCCAGGACGAGCGAGCGACAGCCCAGCTGAGAAGGAAAGAATTCTGTGGTTCTTTAGAGTGTCTGCCACAGATGGCTGCGGGACGTACCAACAAACGTGTCACGTACAAACCACGTCTATATAGCACGACTTACAGGTAGCAGACACAGGTGTCCAACAGGGCATTCATTTCCCCAAGCCTAGATCTCGGGTCCACTGTGACCAACAGTAACCGACTGAGATGTTCTACCAAGAGTGACTGTGTAATGCGCTAGTTCTGTGTGCCTCTCAGCACCACAGCACTAGAATAATAATTCCTTCTCCAAAGTGATAGGAAGCTATCTTAGCCTCTCTAAATTTATTTGTTTATTTATTTATTTATTTATTGAGACAGAGTCTCACTGTGTTGCCCGGGCTAGAGTGCCGTGGCGTCATCCTAGCTCACAGCAACCTCCAACTCCTGGGCTCAAGCGATCCTCCTGCC